TATGGCCCTGTTTTTTTTTTTCTAGACAATGATTTGTCCATGCCACAGTTTTCAACAATTTGTGTCGGCAGCCATGATGATCTCAAAAAAAAAAAAAAAAAAGGAGAGAAAACTAGTTAGAATTCTGAGAGTGTCATACCCTGTAGCCTTTCTTTTGAGTAAAGATCAACATCATTTGCAGCTTCCTGGCATGTTTTGTTACAGCGCTAGGTTTTCCACGAGCAGACCACATAAGTCGAACCATGTATCAAGATTTGACTTGAGAACTACTCAAGGTATCATGATGAAACTGCATATTTCTCTATTCAAGACACCTATGAGAATGCATGCCAAACTTCATTGCTCTAGGTCAACAAACAAAAAGGTTTTTTTTTCAACACCACCTCCCCCCCTAAACCTTAATATAACGAAATTGATAAATTCCCGGAAAAATTTGTTATAAAGAGGATTTTGTTAAATGCAGGCTTGGTACGAAAATTCGAAAAATAAAAGCGCAAATTAAACAAAAGGGTGACTGAAGGCAGAGCTAACCCAAAACACTTATTTTACTGTAGAAAACTGCATTAATATCGCAATAGCCATTATATGGACACTCCCGGCGGGGTTTTACTGTCGTCGACATGTTCCGTATTAAGTGCAAATTGATAACATGCCCCCGCACATGCCAACTTTCAGGAGTGGGTAAAAGCGCGCGAGCGCTGCTGAAGCAGAGATAAAATGAGTCTGCCCATCCCTATCGCCTAGAAAATGCATAAGATCTCCCGTCTGTTAGAACTGCTGTCGAATGTTCACACAGAAAGTAAGCCACCCGTCTTGGAACGAGCATGCAACAATGCGGGGAGTGGGGGAGGAAGGGGAATCGCTGGAGCAGCAATAACGAACGATTTCAAGGGCAGTCGCGATCGCTGGGGCGCTTGCTATCTCGGCGAGTATCAGTGCGGTTTCAACGCGAAGGGGCTGTGTGAAAAGAGCACATCTTCTTGGAGCGGCCGTATTTGCTCACACTAGCGTTTCATAGGAGTTCTGCAATATCGGAGCCAAAAGAGTTGGCTGCCAGCCTTACTTCTTATAACATTCCAATTTTTTGCTATCACGTTCATTGCATTGCGTTCAACACGCCGCCGTGTTGCCAAAAGTAATAGGCTAATCGCGTAAGCTACCAGCCTGCGAACTAGTGGCGCGGTGCAAAATGAAAGCGTGTGACGAGTCGACCTCCGAAGATCCCTCGTCATCGTGGTCTCAGGGAGTTTCCATCAGCTCCTAGTCTGACATCCCCTCGATGGTGAAGACACTGTCCGAAATTTAAAAAAGTCAGTTTCACCGCAAGGGCGAAGCAATGAATGTGATAACAACAATTCTTGGAATGTAATGCTGAGAACGGCTAGCATATTGGAATGTGCAGCGCGCTGCTCACACACAAATGACGCAAGAAAACAACTTACAGAGGACAAGAAGGAACTAACATCGTTTACCGCTCGACACTTAGCGTGCTGTTTAAATAAAAACGAGGCACGAAACGTAATCACAAGTACAGGTATAAATGCGAACTAACAAGTGCCCCAGTCGTTACATCGATGTGTTTGAAAAGGGCGCCTGTCCAACGGTGCCTGTCCAGCGAGCGAAGTGATCCTCGTGCGCCTGGCAACTAAACTCAATCGTTCCCCAGTCAAAGTCGAAGGCACGCGATTCTCCCCACCGAAGGATAAGCGCGTGTGCACAAGCATTGACCCCCCCCCCCCATTTAGTGGGGCAAAGTACAAGTGGGAAATAAGAGAACCTCGGCGCATCGTGACGAGCTGGGCGCCGAGCGCGCGGGCGGTTTTTTTCTTTTTTTTACGTGTCGTGAGTTTTCTTATATATAAATACGTGAATGACGGCGGCGGAGGCAAAATACCAGCCGAGACTGTCCATATACATGATTGCTATCGCAATAAAAAAAAACAATGCTGAACGTCGTCGGGGGGGCCACAACATGCGCACGCAGTGAAATTATGCATGCGAGCATGGCGTCGAAAACGTAAAGCGAACCACACAGACACGGATATCGCGGAAAATTAATCACTTCCCATATGCAGCGCGGCCCCATATATGTGACGCTAACGAAAAGCGTGGCACTGCCAACGCACAAAAGTACTTGTTTTTAAGTGTGAATACACTTTACAAGCGACCCCAAACCATCCACTGCAGTCGGCGGCGTCCGCAGTCTTCTCTCTATCTTTAAAAGAAAGAGGACTTGGCGGGTCGCAGCGCGACGCTCTACCGAATAAGCCATGGACGCGACGCTGATATTGGTGTCGCTCCTCCGCTCTCCCCGCTCGCTGCAGCTGCGCGTGCACCCCTCTCTCTCGCACGCCCGCCTTCTTTCTCAGTCTCCCGTCGAGAGCGAGTCATGCGATGGATGTCCCGGAGGCAACGCTACCATCTGGATATAAGGCGCGTTACTGACATTGATATATATATATATATAGAGAGAGAGAGAGAGAGAGAGAAGACTGCGGACGCCGCCGATGGCGGTGGATGGTTTGGGGTCGCTTATAAAGTGTATTCACACATAATATATATATATATATATATATATATATATATATATATATATATATATATACACATATATATATATATATATATATATACACATATATATATATATATATATACACATATATATATATATATATGTACTGGTTTTCATGTTTGTTCGGAGTGAGGGGAAGTGCACACTCACGCATGCGAGCGTGATGGTGAAAACGGCGGCAAAGCCGGCTCGTGGTGTGCAGGCCCGTCTGCCCGCCGTACACCGCCCAGATGCCCGCCGATGCCGCTTCGTGCTTCATCGGCGGCGTGGCAGCACTCGAAGGGCGCTTGTATTAAAATGCGGAGTGAAATTTCTCGATTGTTCGTGGCGAAAATTCATTATATCAAGGTTGTTTGCCTCTGTTACTTTGTTACATAGAGGTCGCAAACACATGTGCTTCTATGGAGAGGCAGCGGGGAATAAGGAAACTTCGTTACATCGAGGAATTCGTTATATGGAGTTTGGTTATAAGCAGGTTTAACTGTAAGCGCATTTGCCGGTTCGATAGCATCATTGTCGCTTCGCTCCCATACCAAAAAAAAAAAAAAACTCTGTGCTAACGAAGGCAATGCACAAGCAGAACGTATTGATAACACGAACACTAAATACAGAATGTACACACTAAAAGAAACGCTGAGCGAATGTAAACGGAAACTTGGTGTGCATCCCCAATGCCGCTTCGCATCCCTTCATGGTTCTCTTTCGGAGGGGGATGGTGTAATTTCTTTATGCCCAGTTAACGAAATGCTTTGTCAAGTACTGTTGGCTTTATTCTTGGTTGTTTTAAAGGAATGCATGCAAATTTCTAGCTTGAAAGAACAAAGTTAATTTTCTGGTGCAGTCTGAATTAAGCAGCTCTAAATTGCACTGAACTTGAAGCAAGCCAGCCCAAAACTTGCAATGTACCTTAAATGACCAATTTGTGGGTGCGTGTGAATATTAAAACTTTTGAATATTTTTCTAATAGTGTTTGCTATTCGATTCACACTGGAATTTTACCGTTTTAACTATGCAAACTTCTGAAGGCAAGTCTGTGTTCAATTTTTTTGTACTTTCTAGGAAGTGCTAAATCATCGAAAAAATCAGACAGTCTAAAAAAAAACACTGATTGATGCATTTTTATGCTGCTAAAGCAGTCGAATTGCCACATTGATGGTCAAGTCACCACAGCTGCGCTTTAATGCCTCTTAGTACACTTATCACGCATTTTAGTGTGCACCCAACCTCTCATGAATACATTCGGTACCTGCCACGAACCGGGCTATCTCGCATGGGGCCAGGGGCGTAGCCAGAATTTTTTTCTGGGGGCTACACCCGTGCATGGGGCGTCTGGAAACAATGATGCGAAAAGCGAAGACCTTGACGGAAGAGTGGACGACTCGTCCAGCTTTTGCCGATGCCTGTGCGCACATAAATGATTTACTGCCGTGTAGAGCCGATCATTCTCAGTTGTGTACAGCACATCGCCAGCATGCTGACCCAGTTACTGCCCGGGTACTTTCTGCGCCTTGTGCACGCATTTTCCACGAAAGTGTTCGCGATGACCACTCTGTTCCGAACTGCGCATGTGGCGATGGGGAGCTGCCGACATTCACGAAGGCGTCTGTGCGGCGACCTTGCTGTTCGGCACTAAGAGACTGCATGAACGGCAGCATGAACGCGTTTGGGGCTTGCCACTAGCAGCGCTGAGCCACATGCACTATGGAGCAGCTAGCTGAATATGCCTATCAAAAGGGTGGTCGGAGATGAAGCCTGCTGGCATGTTTGCCGCCTACTGCTATCACGCCTTCATGCATTTTCGATGTTTGTCCTTGAAAACATTGCCACACCTTGTCTTTGCTTCAAACCAAAAAATTTATATTCGCACAAGCTTAGCTCAATTTTTCAAGGCTACATTGTGTTTGGTGAATTGGATCAGATGACACCACAGCTTCGCTGACCTATCAGCCTTCGCAGTGCATATTGCGAACCATTTATCTAAAAGAACAATTGGTTCCTGGGCCTTATATTCGGCAAAAAAGGTCCTATTTGCGATTGAACTCAACTACCATATTTACTGACTACAAGCACTGGCTAGTGCTTATTTGTTTGTTTAGACATGCACCTACAGCACCGTGAAGTGTTAGTGCTGCAGTTATATTTACAATGTATAAATACAGTGCAATGTATGATGGTACAGACTATATAGACTTGATGACTGTTTGATACTGTTGGCTAAATGTAGAATAATGTGGCCTATTCACCGCTATGATGGCAACGCTGTATTGTTCGAATTTCGCTTGAATAATTGTGTTGCTTGCCAGTCGTTTAGGACAGGTCTTCCTAGAGCATCGGCAGTGGTGATTTTATGGGGTGGGGTGATTTCGTGGTGCAGTGGTGATTTGGTGGGGTGCTTAGGAAAAAATTTCTCTGATTTACCCTGCAGGGACGGTGCCGTCGTCTTGGTTCCAAATGCTGACGCCATCTCCAAAGTTCTGGAGAGCATCGGTGAGAAAAGCCGCATTTTTTTAATGGCTGCCTACTTTGTTGTATTGCTCACTTTCTTGTAGGGAGGTCAAGTCCTTGGGGTTTTGTTTAATTATGCAGATTTTTATGTGTACTACAGGTTTAAGTGTAGCTTTTGTGGAGAGGCCTTTTCCCCCATGTCCCCGTGTTTGGGGTCCGAGGGCTCAAGACTGGGTCCGCCATAGCCGATACTCTAGTAGAGAGGCCTGGTCTCCTTTCCTCTTAGCGCATGCTAAAAAACACCAGCTGGTTGAAATTTCGGGAGCTCTCTTGTACGGCGTCCCTTGTAATCATTTTCTCGTTTTGGGATGTTAAACCCCAACAATTATCTATATAACAATACACTTATGCAGTAAAAACCTCCATTGCCCTAATTTTTTCTCGTATGTATATGCGCATCCAAGCAGCTCATGTGAAATGAGGGGGCCTAACCCATTCCAGGATAGTAATTGTGCTTAGATTGAGTGAGCACAAGTATTAGCTCTGTAGTCTCCCTGTGCAGCTTCCGAGTCTGCTCATGGGATTGGAAAAAAAAAGGGAAAAGAAAGAACACCACTTAGAGGGTAAAATAACTCTCTGTAAATTCCGTTTATGTTTGAAGGATCTAAAATTTTTTCTTGAAAGCATATTTATTGGGCAATCTAGCAAGGCCACTGTATGATTACTAGAGACCGAATTATAGGCAAATGCCTATTTTGTTCCTTGCGTTCCTATCATGCCATTTTGATATATGAGCATGAATTAAAGGTTAATAAGGGCTTTTTTGGTGTTTTTATAGTGCCTATAAATGCCTATTTTGGGTGCTCGTGCCTAAATGCCTATAACTGCCTATACATGTCTATTTTCCAAATGAGTGCTGTTCAAGCCCAAATTTTGTTTTAGAGCGTGGTGTGAAATCATTATTCACGTAAAAAAGGCAACATTGATATTTACAAACACAACGAAGGCAAAGCTGACATGCTGCGAGTGATTGGAGGAGGAGCATGAGGAGTGCAAAAGACGCTATTTCTGCAGCCCTAAATGGAAGAATGTCTCAGCGTCTGCTGGGGAAGGAAGAGAAAGAAATAAAGATGGGGTAAGAAAATAAAAGTGGTGTCTATGGCCAAGGACGCGGCGACCGCGTTCTGCATACAGCTGGCAGTGCCCTGAATGAACTGAAGAACCGCCCCGAAAACCTGGGTCTTCTACATACAGCTGCCAGTGTCGTGAAGGAACTGAAGAACCACCCTGAAAACCTGGGTGTTGTGGTGGGAAAGGAACAGCAGGTTTTTCTGGACAGCCGCTGGTAGCTGGAGAACGTATGAAAAACCGTAGAGGGCCACTCGTGGAATGCTCTTGTTGATTCAGTGGCGGCGAAGGTCGCCAAATCGTTATACTTTACACAGCGAAGCCTGAGACAGGTGCCGGCATGTTTACAATCAACGGTGTATTTAGCATACATTCTACGTATGCTTGAATACGCCTGTTCTGTATGAGATCCCTTTTCATGTCTCTTTAAGTGACAAACATGAAAAAATACAGAACAGGACTTCAAGGTTTGTTTTAAGTCATTAGTAAAAAATGACAGCTATAACAATATGAAAAATGAACTAGGACCGGAATTACTATCATTGCGTCGAATTAAACTGCGTTGAAATCTCCTATGTCAAGCATTTCATGGTAAAACTCGCATTCGTATGTGAATGTACCTAAACAGTCGTCTTCGCGCAATGGTATTATTAAGATTTTAGAATGTCGTATCGGAGATAATTTTTCTATTAGATTGTTTTTTGTTAGTTTCATGACAAAATGAAATGGCTTATAAAAAGAAAAAAGTGTGCTGCGTCTATCTAGGCGTGTTTTCTATAAAATTGTAACCCTTCTGCTGCAGCGCCTTCGGGAAACATGTGATGTGCACGCAGCTTTTGTTTTGTTTTCTAATTTACTTTTTAAGCGTCCCTCTCTAGGTGACATAATAAGTTGTAGTTAGGTAGACACTGGAAGTTCTTGCGTACCCAATAGAAAACGTTCTACCACGGTGATTTTTCAAATTGGTTCGCTACGACCCACTTAAAGCGTGACGCGAAGAAGCAGGCTTAAATCTCTTGTCTCTCCTTCAATGTAGCCATCGCGAGCTTCATTCCTTCTTTGTTCTCTTCGGTGTCGGGGCTGGAGGATCACATGATGCATAGGCACCAAGAATAACATGCGTAAGCTGCCCCAGCTTACTTGTGCACTTAGGCCATCGATGTCGTGTCGTTTCGCCGTTCTCTGTTGTGCATTACCCGTTTCTGTGGGATGGATCAGTCAGTGCGTGTACTTTAGGAGAGGCTGGCAAGGACCCAGTATTGTGACTGCGATGCACCACGTCACTCCGATGACACTGCGGTCAGAGACGACGCACCAGACGCAAGCTAAGTGTTGTCAGGGTTGGTGAAGGCACGATGTAGGAATGACGAGAAGAATAACGCAAGCGAAGTGGGGTAATAGTATTAGTAGTAATAGTATATAGTAGTAGTAGCAGTGGTAGTATGTGTGGTTTTATGTAAAGAAAACCACAATATGAATGAGAAATGCTGTAGTGGAGGTCGCCGCAAATATTGACCTCTGACATTGCGCAGCACACGGGCATCTACTTTTTCGCCTCCATCTGGATCTGGATGTGATCGCCGAGGCCACAATCGAACCCGCGGCATTCGCTTCAGCAGCGGAGCACCCTATAGCGACTAGTCCACGAAGACGGACGGGAAACGAGGGCCGATTAGTGAATAGCATCTTGAGGCTATTCAAAACAAAAATAATAATAACGATCCGAGATTCCATTTGTGTGTTGTATTTTCCTAGGCTTTCATTCATTATACTGATTTTGGAAGGGCAGTGCAAAACACATCGAAAAGAAAGACACAGATACAAGGAGCGCTTTCTTTCATTCCCCTTTGTCTTTGCGCTTCCCTTCCTAATGATATGATGTAGCTAGCCCAAACCAAAGTACTCCTCATTCATGCTACGCAACAGAACACACAAATCGCACATGCCAAGTAGAGTAGTGTGATGTTCAATGCTCTCAGTGAGGTATCGTTTAAAGTGCAGAATATCTACAGGAGACGGGACATTTTTCGTCTGTTTTTCTAGATATAGCTTGCTTTTAATGAAATTCTGATGAAGAGTGTATACGGGATGCGACGTCAGCCCACGGATGTCGACGTAGATGAGCTATGTAAAAACAGGACCATTCCTTGCTCTACGTCACTCCCTAGATCTTGGGGCGCAGGCCCGGGAGAAGGGCAAGTGGCATTCATAAGATATTGAGTGTTTTTCTGTGACATGTAATTTTGCAAGTCTTAACAGGAACGATCCAGAGTGCCCAGTGCAACGTTACGCTTGTCAGCTTGAAATGCCCAAACCTAGCGAGAGGCCCTCTAAGGTGTTCACTGATAGGGGTGGAATTGGTCCTATGTGATCTACGGGATTAAACCCAGCATGCCTCTGTTCTGGAGCATCAGTGGTCTGGTTATTTGCTCCTGCACTGTCTTTCCCAGCTATAACGAAACGAAAGAGACCCAGGAGAGTGTTAATCAAATGGTGGACACTCGACGCACAGTACTAGACAACAAAATGAAAGACCGCATACTGCGAATCATGCGGGAAATGCATGCCTGTGTTCAATCGTTCGTAGATTTCTGCAATCTTAAACAATATCCTTTTTTTGCTTCTTTTCGTAGATAGAAGTCACCGATGTCATTGTTTTGGAATATTTCAATTTTTGTACGAATTTATTGTGCCTATAATTATGATTTTTAGGGCCTAAAACAGTGTTTTACCTGCCTGTGTTTGGCACCTAAAACACACTTTTTAGTGCTTAAAAATCCAGCCTATAATAATTACGTATCAAATGTGACGGTGCCACTCACAGTTAATTCGTGCTCAGAATTTCCTGCAAAGTTTTCATGTCACATCACTGCTGTGTCATGTATTTAAGGCTTGATACGTTAGAACTTTCTGTGCATTTAACACAAATCAATAAATATCTGATACAGTGGCATTTCTCATTGGAATATGCCATCATCGGACGATCGATAAGTTGTGTCAATTATTTTACGCAAGATCGTCGGTATAGTTTGCATGGCTAGCTTTCCACACATGCGACGTGCATAGCTAGGATGCAAGCTGGACTAGCACAGAGGTGCCGTTTCGCGAAATAAACGCTTACACCTCCACTTCCTTCTCGCAGATGTGTTCCTTTCCCTGGCCGCGAGGTCGTCGTCGTCGAGGGACGCTGAGCCCTGCCAAGCCAAGCTGTAGCCGCGAGGATGCTGCAGCTTATTTATTTCATTTCCATAGAAACATGTGGTATTGTTGTGATATATGTCCGCCTACAGTCAGTTTTGTATAGCCCAAATACAAGTAATCTCTACGAGTCACAGGAATTAATCTTTCGCTTGCTTATTTTTTTTCTCACCCCTTTCAGTGCTTCTTTTTGCACTCGAACGTTTTATTTTTCTGTTCTCTGTTTCTACATTGAGTGATAGGGGTTTTGTTTCAATGTCGTGTTTTAATGGCATTTAGTAGTGATTATGTGAAACGTAGGCATTCAGGAGGACATGTGTCAGTGCAGCGGAATCATTTCCGAGTATTCCTTAATGAACAACGTGTTCAGGTTCAGCACATGTTAATGGCCTGAAATAGTTGTACAGTAATACCTCGTTAACTGGAAGTCGTAAAAACCAGGGAAAATTTTGAGATTCTTGGGATAAGCAAAGGTGCACTAATTGCCAGGAATAATTAGTACTTTTCAGAAAAATCACTGCTACTTACCGGCTACTCAATAACAGTTCGTAATCTTTTTTCTCGTGCAAGATTTAAAGAAAAAAATAATGACATTCAAGAAACTTTAACCTGCTGGGTTTTGCCGGACACCCTTACAATCAACGCCGCTTCAATGTCTGGGAACTTTGAACCTCGAACCCCCTTTAGCTGGCTGGAGAAGCTCTGCTGAAATCCATCCAGCATCTTTTGCTTGTTTTTCAGTACCGTCGAAAGCGTAGACAAACGGGATGCCGAATTCCTGCACCATGCTCAATTTCATTCGGCCTTCTTTCTCCACTTCCTTAATTAGGGCAACCTTTTTTTCTAGCGTTAACAGCTTGCACTGCCTTGATGCCATGCTTGCCACACACGCTAAGTTGCCACTTCTCACAGTCAGTGAAAAATCCGTACTGCTGGGTTTGCGCAAATTAACAGAAATCGCACCTCAGGGAAAATTGCGAGCATCGCACTCGCAGTCAGCAAAAAATCCGTACCACGTGGTTTTCGCAGATGGGTGGAAGTCGCACCTCAAGGAAAGTCATGTGCACTGCACAAAGCGAACGAGACAAACTATGGCAAGCGTGGGCAGAGGGCTTCCCTGCTCGGCATATGTACGTGTCCCATGACGTGCCACAGAGTTGCTTGATGAAGTTAATATGTCTCTAGGTTGAGACTTCACACACTTTGCGGTTGCAGAAAGCATCGACGTAGTGGCAGGCGCAGCTAAATAAGAAAAATAATTGACGGACTTCAGCTGTGGCAGCATCGCGCAAATTCTTGTGAAATGGTCTGGTGGCGAAACTTCAAAAATACATCGAGATAAAGGGCAATATGTACATGGAACATATAAAAAATGTGCGATGCTGCGGAATATATCGACTTAGCCGATTTTTTAAGATATGCAAGTTCGAGTTAACGAGGTATAACAGTATCTACATATGGAGTACCACTGTGGAATTCTCTGTTCAATAAATGGCATATGAATCTTCTAACTTAGTGTGATGGGTTAATGGCTAAAGCTGGTTTTCATGTGATTTTGTACGGTCACCTATGTTCTTCATACTGACTGAACCTTAAAGCTGTTGAAAGTTTTTAAGAAGTTTTGAAAAGCAAAAGAACTTCTCTGGAATGTCTTACGGGTGAGTCTGCTTACTCCCTTTTGAAGGTGTGGCAATCTTGACATAATGACATGATCAAAGTGTGCATTTTAACCTGACAAATGCGGCCTTAGTGTGTAGAGAAGACTGATCATGTAAGCACACTTGCTGTGTTGATGTAACTGGGAGAAACTGTCATGTTTGCATAATATGTACACAAATGCATGGAATTTTTGCATGAATTTGGCATGATTTCTTATTGGTTCTAATATAGAACGCATAAAACAATGTTTTAGATTGGAAGCTTTCTTTTTACCGCTACCTTGTCGTGATAATTGAACTAAATGACGACATTGCTTTGACGTACTGCCTGCCAAATCGCAGATCACTTACAGGTAATTCATGCTCTGATAACGTAAAGATGTGGTATACCACAAAATAACGCAAAATGTTGGTTTGCCAGCAATGTTTTTATGTAATCGAGGCTTGATAAGTTTGAACTTTCTGTGCTCTTAGTGCAGATAGATAATAGCTGATACAATGGCATTATAGTCATCGTAATCTGTCCGCATCTGATGGTCGATAAGTTGTTTTTATTTAATTTGCATGAGATAGTGTACGTGAACTACACTAGACTATTTCATTAACTGCCTTTTGCACTCAACTCTCCTTTTTTGCGCACAACAATAAGTGTGTGCAGATTTCTTCGCTGTAGTGTCCATAACTGCCACTTATTCTCGGTGAGGTCGTGCCCTGTTTAGTTGTGTGCAGTCCTCGTAATTCAGGAGACAACTTGTGCTGCCTGTGCAATTGAATTACATTTACCTGAATGCAGCTGTCTCCTGCTTCTATTACTCCGCAAACTCGACCTTTGCTGGAATTGTCACAAGTTTGCTGTCGTGCTTTGCTTATTTATGCCATTATGGCTCTGCCGTTGGACTCCTTCTTGTAACAAAGCTTTCCCACCTTTATTGTTTGCATTGAAAGCACCTTTATCGGCATTTATGATAGACTGTTTCGTGCAGTGGGTTGCCTTCGTATGTGAAAACATTAAAATAGGTCCTTGTGGCCTTTGTTGTTTCATTTTTGTGTGTTACGAACAATCTCATTTAGTACTTTGCAAGCATCTATCCGATAAAAAAATCGAGGCAGCTTCGCACTAGGGTGGCCAAGCCTCAAGGAAGTCGTTGACTTAGTTTTTTTTTTTGTTTCCCTTTATCTTTTCCTTTCTGACTTCTTGTGTTTATTTTTTTTCACGTCTCTTTCTTTCTTCAATTTTTGCTTTTATGTTTCTATTTGTACTTATTTCTTTCTCTCTAACGTATATTTGTTTTTCTTGCTTTTTCTCTCTCATTATTTATTCCTCTCTCTGCCTTTCTTCCTTTTCTATACTATTGTTCGAGATGCCTTTGCTTGTTGATGCCTCTGCTTCAGTGCACTAATTATAGGTGCTCTTCAATTTTGAACATTTGTTTCTACTAGTGAGCTCGAATGTGTAATGGTACGTAGTATGTCTTGATCAATTAATCCACATCCCAAATAGTGTTCACTCTCGCTAATTCAATGACAATGACAATGACAAACCAGGAGACAAAGCAAATAAACACAATAATAAGGAAAGCATTCAAAGCAGCATTGGGGATTCCGGAAAATGCCAAAACCGAGAGGGTAGAGAAATTGGGCATATACAATACCTTTGAGGAGTATGCGAATGCGGTGCTTTTATCTCAAAAGGAAAGGCTCAATTCAAGCTATCATGGGAGAAGAATTCTGGAAAAGATGGGATATACATTGCGACCGCTATATTGTGACGAGGAAACGGTGCTAATAGATGCGGAAAAACGCACACATTTAACTGTGGCGCCTATTCCCAGAAATATGCATCCGACGTATCACGCAGGAATGAGGAAAGCGAGAGCAGACTCCTTACGCAAAGCATTTCAGAATAGCTCAGAAGCCGTCTTTACAGACGTAAGTAAAGCGAGCAGAGGGTCACATGTAGTGGCAATTGTAGCACAAAATCACACCACAATGGCGTCGGTTAAAACTTGTTTCACACGAGTGGCAGAGGCGGCAGCAATAGCCATAGCCATATCCAACGCAGAAATCAGGGGAGAATCAGTGGTTGTGCTCTCCGATTCACAGGCGGCATGCCGAATGTTTCTCCGAGGAATGCTACCTAAAATAGCGTATAAATTTTTAAATAAACCCATAACAGGAGACCATCACATTATATGGTGTCCTGCTCACGAAGGTTTGGAGGGGAACGTCGTGGCAGACCGTATAGCTCGAGGCATCACCAACCGAGCGACGGCAGGCCACGACGTTGAACCTCTTTCCAATTCGCGTGACATCCTCCTCCAACAAAGGAAGCAACGAAAGGAATATGGGCTTCCACATAAGGACTTGGATAGCCAGCAAAGCAGGGATTGGAGACGCATACAAACCAATAGCTTTCCCAATTTGTACCATCTAAGTAGAATATATCCCGCAAGATATAAAGACACCTGTCCGTGGTGTTCACAAGTACCAACACTCAGCCACATAACATGGGATTGCACCCAGAGGCCCACACACATCGACAGCCCACACATCACGAAGCAACCACACATGTTTCACAGGCAGTGGGAGGCATGGCTTGCGGACGAGGACAAGCAGAGCCAAATAGCTTTGCTTGACCAGGTCCAGCGAGCCGCTCGTGCCAGCGGAGCCCTGGACTGAGGGCCCGACCAAACTGCCTGCATTTCAATTTTTTTTTTTCTGAATAAATTTTCTTCCTCCTCCTCTCGCTAATTCAAACTCGAAGGAACCTCTGAATTTTGTTTGAATTATCAAGAAGTTTGAATTATCAGAAGTTCTCAGATATGTGACTTAGGGTGAGGTGACACCATACTTTATGATTAGGCATTGATTTTATCAGATTTAAACATTTTTAGAGCGTTTTCATATCCTAACTGCACACAATAAACAGAAAGCGGAGAGTTCTTCAGCCATCTACTGCTGATCGGACCTTTTAAAGAAATTGTCAATTGCCAACTGCTTCTTTGCTATATATGTGCCTTCAACACAAAGCTCTCTATACTAGTTGAGAAGCGTCACAGTTCACCATGTGTGTTCTTCGTTTCAAACATTTGTTTACTGGCAAAAGCTTTTTTCCTTAAAGGCCTAAGACGCTTATTTTCATTCTTAAACTGTGAGGATTATACAAGCACGCAAGTTTTTAAATAGTAGTGGGAAAACAGCAGACATTTTTTTTTGGTATGTAACTGCCAAAATTATGAAATAAGCGAATGATGCTGTTTGAAATAAGAGGCTTTAAATATATTGAAAAAGTAGAGGGTCAACCAGAAAATTGAATTTTGTTTAAATTACTGAAAGTATGAATAATTAGAGTTTGAATTATTGTGAGTTTACTGCATAGCAAACGAATTCTGAACATAACTTTTGAAAGGTGCATTGAGCTATATTGTAAATAAAGTGTTGTGCAGAGCTGCACAGCAACGAATGGCTCCTCTACCATTCAGAATGAGCGGTTCTACTACCAATAACCGAACGCAATACGAGTTTCTGGACATTGCAGCAACAACTGTACCTAAGTCATTGACAGTGAAATTAAAGTTGCACAAAAAATAAACCCTTATTTTTCTCCCAAATTCAAAATTTATTTAGAAAGTTGAAGTGACTCATAAAGTGTAGGCATACGCCTGTACAGCAGACTTGAGAACAACACTGTTCTGTGCTGACATACAGCTGTTCATTCACATAAGTGGACACTGTATGGATGTTCGTATGAAATGCTGATGGAAAATCAACATTGCATTACCATTTTAAGGCAGTGCGTTGCCTAGCCTAAACTGATATGTTTGTCCACATATATGCTTGCTGGGATGCAAAGGATTAATGTTTAAAGCATGCTTGCCAGTGATGACTGGTCAAGCATGCCAGACAGAACTGGTTGACCTTGTACGAGAACAATGGTGAAATTGGCCTGAGTGTAGTCAAGTTCAAGAAACATTTTGAGAAATTTCGGTAATGAGAAAGTGAAGGAGTCGACAGCTTTATAAGTGATGTTGCTGGCATAGCTCTCATTGGGCAAAATTTTTTCTGTTCACCTCCGTTAAGTCAGTTGTATATATATTCGACAGCGAGTTTAGCAAATATGTGATGCCGTTCCTACTGTAGGCTAATGCTCGATGCAAAAACTCCCCTCCTCAAACGTTGCCTCCCTCATATCCTTTTTCCTTCTGCTCCCGAACATAAGTCACATTGAATGGCAGGTTTGTGAAAGCACGTATCATACCCACTTTAGTATGTGCCTTTACAAGGTAAAAAAAGTTTCACGCCGAAGTGGTGTTGCCTTCGCAGCAACTAGTGGGGCACGTGCGTGCATGGAGTTATCGAAAGTGAAAAAAAGAATAGTGAAGAAAACTTTTGTTCCTGACATTTTCAACTGGATTGATAGTCTGTGCTGAAATCGGCCAACACAAAATTGTTTGCAGGTAGTAACTAGAAGATAAATTATGACTTTAGTGCGTTTTTCACAAAGTGCTTCGTCTAGTGGCCGCTCTATGAACTAGAAGAGGTGACATTTATATCCCCCCAAAACAGTGGTGGGTCCAGAGGGGGTGCCCCCTCTCCCCCCCCCCCAAAAAAAAGCCTGTGCCAGCACGGCCATCCCATCCTCTCCAGTGCTTTTCCTCCACCTTCCTGTCATAAATGGTACTTATGCTATGTAGACGAATGCTCTGTAGGCTGATCATAGAGCAGTAAGTACAAAGCGATGATGTCGTTTGATGCAGTGATCATGGGGCCTTCATGATGACCTTAGACATTCTGGTAATATGTGATGTCACGATGACGTCCTATAGTGATGCCATCACGCGATGATTTTTGCATCACTCTTGTTGACATCGCCGCCACGTGACGCCAAATCCACCGACGGTCAGTTTTTGTTCTGTAGCTGAAAACCTTAGATGCCTCATCAAACGTGAAACTTGACCGTTTGCGTCCCGCGTCGGCGGCGTCGAGTGATCGAAAAATTACCATGTGTTGACGACAACACACATGGCGGCAGACATTGCCAAAAATTGTGACGTTATCAAAACGTCTCGTGGCTTCACGTGGTCACGCCAATCCCGTGACATCCGAGCTTGGTCAAATGTGGTCCGATCATGGAGGCAATGCAAAAATCAGTTTTGCACTGCCTTCAATTTTATAGGCAGTGCCAAGCTTGTTGGGTACGGCAAGTTATCAAAGGGTGGCGTGATTGGTAGCGGGCAGGGGTGTCGGCCAGGGGGTGTAAAGGGGGCACTGGTCCCCTTTAAGCCACACCAGCACTTGCCTACGCCCAAGCTACGCCAGTGCTCTTCCCCAGCCGCGATGAAAGACAGGTTTGCACCCATGGCAAAATCCTGCTGACAGTCATAGACTGGCGGGGTAGGATCAGTACATCGACTGAGAAGAAAAAGAATATGACTTTCGCCATCGAATCGTCTTAGGTGGATGGATAGGGGACCCTGTGAGTTTTTAATGAGGCATATAAGCATATCTCACCTTAATGTTGACATGTCAAACTTAAGTAAACAGTTAAATATAATGATGAAGGAATCTAAGGGCATGTATTATGGTATCACTATGAATACATTTCTATGCGAATTACCTCAAAAGTTTTGGATGCACCTGGCTCCAACTAAGAATGCAGTCACTAAAATATGCACAGAACAAGGATCTATTGAGGATAAATGGGATATAGCAGACACCTTCAATGACTTTTTTGCTAGTGTCTTCACCAATGATGATGGAAAGCAGTAAAAATTCGAGGTACACCAACGGCTTCCAGTTGCAAAAGAATTGCAGTTAACATATGAAGGAGTATTAAATTTGCTGCTGAACCTAAATACAAAGAAATCGGCAGGTCCTGATGAGATAGCAAATTTGTTTTTAAAGAGGTATGCTTAATAGACTGCGAAGTACCTCTTCATTATCTTCACGAAGTCACTACGGTCAGGTACACTTCCTGAATAATGGAAAATGAGTAAAGTTATACCCGTTTTTAAAGACCGTGACACCACGTCTACTGCCAG